GCAAATTCGTAAAAAAAGTAATGGAAACAAGGACAGGTAGGATTTCGAACGACCAATGAAAATACGAAGTGAAAATCCTACTTGTGATGCAAATTCTACTCTACATTGCAAGGTGATCCTTAATTTCTTAAATAACAACGTTGAAAGTACAATTTAGAGTAGAATTTGCATCACGAGTAGGATTTTCACTTTGTATTTTTGTTGGTCATTTGGAATCCTACCTGTCCTTGTTTCCATTACTTTTTTTACGAATTTGCGGAATTTTGTCAAATTTTACAAAAATTTACAAGTAGAAAATTTCACAATTTTATTACATTTTCTGATGGATATACATGTACTTATGTTTTGTAGAAAGTTTGAGTGGATTCAGAACAAGTTTGGATTTTTAATGATTTTTTAAACTTGCTCCAAATTGGACAAAAGTCCCTGTACTATAGTACAGGGATTTTTGTCAAATTTCACCAAAATTGATAAGTAGAGAATTCCTTAATTTTATTACATTTTCTGATGCATGTACATGTACTTATGTTGTGTACAAAATTTGAGCTGATTCCGATTAAGTTTCAATTTTTTATGATTTTTTTAAAGTTGCTCTAAAATCGGACAAAAGTCCCTGTACAGTAAAGGGATTTTTGTCAAATTTCATCAAAATTGACAGGTATAGAAAATTCCTCAATTTTATTACATTTTCTGATGCATTTACATGCACTTATGTTGTGTAGAAAGTTTGAGTGGATTTTGAACAAGTTTAGATTTTTTATGATTTTTAAAAGTTTGCTCCAAAATCGAACAAAAGTCCCTGTACAGGGATTTTTGTCAAATTTCACAAAAATTGACAAGTAGATACTTCCTTAATCTTATTACATTTTCTGATGCATGTACATGTACTTATGTTGCATGTGTACAAAGTTTGAGCTGATTCCAATCAAGTTTTGATTTTTTATGATTTTTTAAAGTTGCTCCAAAATCAGAAAAAAATCCCTGTACAGGGACTTTTGTCAAATTCCTCCAAAATTTACAAGCAGAAAATTCCTCAATTTTATTACTTTTTCTATTGCATGTACTTATGTTGTGTAGAAAGTTTGAGTGGATTCTGAACAAATTTGAATTTTTAATGATTTTTTAAAGTTGCTCCAAAATTAGACAAAAGTCCCTGTACTAAAGCTAGGAAATAAATTGCTTCTTCCAGAGCTGCAGATCTGAGCATGCGCGACCACACCCAAATTTTAAGAGCACATGCTTCTTTAATTAACAAAATGGTGGCATGCAGCTAAGATGGTACAATCCAGCAGTCATAGTATCACTTTTTTCCTTTCTTGCAGAATGATCTGATGGGACATGGACCTGCGCATAGACTGTTGGAGTAGATTGGTATAAGAATTATCCTTGTTGCATCAACCAATACTGAGATACACACCGACAACTGGATTGACAGGACTTGATGATGATGATGATGATGATGATGATGATAAAAAAAGGTAGCTGAACAAAACGGCCAGTTCGCAGATTTTTGGCTTTCCTCTTAGACAAGGTCTAGAGCTATGCTAGTGGTACTATTGGAGTCCTCTGGTCAAGATGAGGTCCTCTAAGAAGTCTGGTAAGCATAGGAGCTTATAACAAGGCTGCAAAAGTTGTGGCAGCCATTTTGTTTGGGGGTGAATCCTACTTAGTAACGCTACCGCGTTACTAATAGAATATTAATAATTGTTATTGATTAATGATGATACACTAACCAGTAATGATCTGTTTCTCATTCTGTGATTGTTCCTCTACTTATGATGTCAGTTTGGCTATAACTTTGTCTTTCTCAGAAATGAGATTTTGATTGTTGTCTACACAATAAACATATTCTCTCATCATTAATACATGCTACGTGTATAGTTAACTAACCAATAATAATCTGTTTCTCCTTGAGATATTGTTCTTCCTTCTCTTCCAATAGTTCCGCAACTTTAAGTTTCAGTTTCTCATAATCTTCTACATTAATAGAATATTCTCTCATTTAATATTATGTACTGATGATACACTAACCAGTAATAATCTGTTTCTTCTCCTCTACTTGTGTCTTCTCTTCCAAAATTTCAGTTATACATGTATATGCTTCATTATGAA